GTAGCATATTTTAAAGTTGTTTGAAATCACTCTGGCCACTAGAGGGTGCTATGAAGTAGCACAACTCAATCGGGACACACCCATTTTAGCTAATATGTTGCCATAAATGTTCACTACAGCACATTCATCGTAAGTCTAGCATTTTTTTAAAAAAATTCCACTTATATTTCTTCTAAAAAGACATTTGGGCACAAGGTAGCATCCATAAGACACGTAGCATTGAAAACTAACCCTCTCTATCTAAACCTGAATCAGGAGACGGTATCTGCGAAGCTATTTTTAAAAGTAGTTGCAACTATAGTTCCCAAAAGGTGATTTATTGTTCATGGGTCGTTAATGCTTTTGCAGTTTTAAAAACCATTTCCTGCTTCTCTGTTTTTCGGATGTAATTAAAACTTCATTCTCACAACAAAAAGTACTTAATGTTTCTTTTAGTTATTATTGTTTTTTAAATGAAACATCTGAATGTAGCAACACAAAAGTCAACTCACAAAGAAAGCTTCTTCCACCATTTAAATGACACCACAGCTTGGCACAATAAGTCAGACGCCAAACCTCAGGTGCCCCCATAGACCTCACTGTCGTTTCCCAGGGTTGGCCCAGCCATTTTGTTGTCAAAGAGAAGACAAATCCTTTCCATGCACTGAGGCCAACATTGACAATGGGACAGCTTCTTCCCCTAAGTCGATGGTGCCAGGCTAATTTACAGAGTTTGGGACAAGTTGTGTGGTGCAAACAGCTTTGTTCCCCCAAGAGAGAGCTATTGGGGTGAAGGACCTTTCTCAGCCTGAAGGGTTGTCAGGGCTACCTCTGACATCTTTTGCAATTCAGTCAGCCCTGCTTCATCTCTTTTTGAAAGCAACCACAACAATCAACAGCAATGTTACATAAGTTTAATGGTTCAGTGTTATACAAGGAAGAATTGGCTCAGGCTATTATAATACAGTGGTGCCTCGCCTAACGGGCACCCCGTTTAATGACGAGATCGCATAGTGATTAACTTTCTGCGATCGCTTTTGCAATCGCTTTGCGATGTTCCCTGTTTCACTTACCGATCATCACAAAGCGATGATTTTTTAACAGTTGATCAGCGGTTCCAAAATGGCCAGCGGGTAAAAAAAATGGTCACCCGCTGTTTTCTGGGACGGATTCCTCGCTTACCGGGCAGCGAAAATGGCCGCCGTATGGCGGATTTTCGCTTAAAGTTGAGTCTGAAGCCCATAGGAACGCATTGAAGGGGTTTCCAATGCATGGATTTTTTATGGGCTTTTTAATATTGCATAGCGACAAAATCACTTTGCAGCGGTTTTTGCTGCACCGATTATCGTCACTATGCGAGGCACCACTGTAATTACTATCTTTGTTATTAGCTGTCTGGATAGCTCAGTGCAGTGGTTCCCAAACTGGGTATCACAGTGCCCTGGGTACCACCAGAGCCAGCCAGGGGCACAGCAGAATTCTTCTCCATCCTGGAGCAGTCACTGCTTTGGCTGCTCCTCTGGGTTGGTTGAGCTGAAGATGTCTGGGTGTGTGTGCCTGGCTCTCTTGCTCTCTTCTGCTGCCTCTCAGAACTGGTTAGGCCCATCCTAGGTCAAGGGAGATGTGAGTCAAAAACGTTTTTCAGTCATTTAGGTCTCTGGCGGTGGACCCAGAGGTTGGGAGTCTGCTTCCCCACTGTGCTTCCTGTGAGTAGAGCCAGCCTGGGTGGCCTTGGGCAAGCTGCACTGTCTCTGGGTTTGCCCAGAAGAAGGGAATTAAACCACTTCTTAAATCCCAAAAAGTCAGAATTGATGTAATGGCACATGGTTATTATTATCTTTGTTATTTTTTTCTCATGTTTATTATCCCCACGTCACCCACCCTGATTCTTTCTGTCTTTCCCATTATTCTTCACAACCCATCCTTGCTGATCTACTTCTCTTCTTCCTCATCGGTCTTTCTCTCCCTTCTCCAATATGCTCTAGCTTTTCCACTACTTCCCACTCTTCACCTTTGTGGCAGCAGAACACTTTTCTCCATTTAAAGAGACTGAGGTCCTGCCCTGAGAAGCACAATGACCTAGAGAGTTCAGCTGTCCATAGGCCTTCTGGAAGAATGGGTAACCCTGGTCTGGTTGCAGCCTTCTTTCTCATCATGCGGGCTGTGATGGAGTTGAAGCAGTATGAAATATGTAGTCGGAGAAATGTAAGATGGAGTCAGACAGGTTCTGTACGAAGAGGATTTGAGAGACATTAGAATGTGTTTTTCTAAGTGTTATGAGAGTGCTCTTCTGAAGACCGGTACAGCGTGGTTCCAGATAAAGCTGAAGGTTGGACAAGGAGCCCATGAAAGACTCAACATTCCAAGCTAATTGGTGAAGAGATAAAACACCTGGATTTTCATGGGAATTGAGGGAGGAGGAAAATGGTATAGCCTCTTGAGGCTAATTCATGGTTAACTGCCATGAAATGTCAAGAAGAAGGGAGGAGTTAGAGAATGTATAAAATGGATGATGGGTTATGTGGAAGAGGTTCAGATGTTCTATTCCATGATGATGGGAGAGGAAAAGAACTTGATGGTTTCAGTATGCGGATGGATGATGGGTTATGTGGAAGAGGTTCAGATGTTCTATTCCATGATGATGGGAGAGGAAAAGAACTTGATGGTTTCAGTATGCGGCTTGAAGGAAGAGAAAAAGAACTTGATGGTTTCAGTATGCGACTTGAAGGAGAGAGGATGTAAATGGAGAGAATGAAGGAGGTGGGACTAATTCACCTTAGCCTAGCTTAATAGTGTTTTTTTATTTTAATGAGGATTACCTGTAATAATCTTTGAATATGTTCCTTGTGCTAAAGCTTGAGCAATATGAACTGATTCTATGAAACTCTATTTTTCTAATAAAAATTAATTATAAAAATCCTTACAAAGGACTGGTCTCTTGAACAGGAGGGGCTGGCTAAATCCAGGAGGTGGAGAGGGCCACAAACTAGCTATCTTTAAAGAGGATGACCTAACTGAGCTGTTGTGAGTTCTAAGGAATCACAAAGCCCATGTGTCTGTATTTGCAAGGTACTGGGCAAAAGTAAAGTGTTCTTTTAAGGTCAGACTTGTTCAGAGGGCTTACACTATGCACTGCTGAGGTCTTGGGATTTACCTCAGTGCAAAGATGGTAGGTAAGTAGCCTGTCGAACTCTCTGATCAAGTGCTAAGCACTCCTTCGGGAGACTTGGGGAACTGCAAGGGCAGCCTGCCATCCAGTGACAGAAGTCAGTACTGCAAGCTATGTAAGGTAAAGGTAAAGGTTCCCCTTGACATTTAGTCCAGTTGTGTCCGACTGTAGGGCACAGTGCTCATCCCCATCTCCAAGCCGTAGAGCCAGTGTTTGTCCTTAGACAGTTTCCGTGGTCACGTGGCCAGCGCGATTAGACATGGAACGCCGTTACCTTCCCACCATGGTGGTACCTATTTATCTACATTTTTGCATGTCTTCAAACTGCTGGGTTGGCAGGAACTGAGACAAGCGACGGGAGCTCACTCCATCACGTGGATTCAATCTTACGACGGCTGGTCTTCTGACCTTGCAGCACAGAGGCTTCTGCAGTTTAACCCGCAGCGCCCCCACATCCCATTGCAAGCTATGTACATTTTGAATTAATAAAAAGTAACATATTTATTTAGTTTAAAAACAAAATCTCCTTGAGGTGTAGACCCCTACTGTCTCCCTAGGCTTCATACTACATTGCAGTTGTCTAGCTTTGAGGGGTTTGGAGAGATGAGAGGCATGCATATTTTTATGTCAGAACGAACCCCAGAGGCTTCAGAAAAGCATTTGTGTGTCTACCAGCAATGTTCACCCAGGGCAGCAGAAACAACTGTAGCTTTAAAGATATATTTTCAAAATAAGATGCATTACATTTGCTTACATCTTTGAACCTCAAAGCTAATGCTGGACACATAGGTTCTGCTTGGCAGTGGCGAGGCTGAGGTTTCTGCTTTTTTACTCCACAGTCTTGGCATGAGTCTTTGAAAGGTCTCATTTCCTAATCCATTTAGTAGAAGGATGGGCTGATTTGCAGGCTGCTCGCGAATTGTTTATGCTCAAATAGAAACAACTGTCCGTATTAGATCATGAACACGCCCTACCTACAACATCGCATCATGGGAAACTGACAAATCTCAGAACATAAAGCAATTGGTCTACACAAGAAGAGCGTCTCCACCCAAACGCTTCCCTACGACCTTTCCAAATAAAGGTAAGCTACACCTGCATTTATTACATTATTTTATATTAAAGAAGCTTCCAGAGAGATATTCCATTTCCCCCGATCATGAACACGCCCTACCTACAACATCGCATCATGGGAAACTGACAAATCTCAGAACATAAAGCAATTGGTCTACACAAGAAGAGCGTCTCCACCCAAACGCTTCCCTACGACCTTTCCAAATAAAGGTAAGCTACACCTGCATTTATTACATTATTTTATATTAAAGAAGCTTCCAGAGAGATATTCCATTTCCCTTGGGTACCTTGCTCCATAGCTTCAGGATAAGCTTTCAAGGCTACACAGAGCCCAGCCCTGACTCTCCTCCCTGATGCTACTGTTGTTAACCTTCTGTAGATCACAGTTTATTTTTTTTTCATCCCCTGCTTCCTGTAACTTGAGCCCATTATTGCGTGTCCTGCACTCTGGGATGATTGAGAACAGACCTTGCCCCCTCCTCTGTATGATAGCCTTTCAAGTAATTGAAAAGGGCTATCGAATCTCTCTCCACCCCCCACCCCCGCCCCTTCCTCCTTCAGTCATGTTTTGTCAAGGCTAAACATGCTTCGTGGGAAAAAAGCCAAAAAGAAAGCAAAATCTTTTCTCTCAGATTTCCCATTGAAAGTCGTCAACCTACCACTCTGCATCACGGATGGATGTTCATCACGCTGACTAGAGTTACCTAAGTGAGCCACAAGTGAAAAACAAAAACAAACCATTCATTTTGCATGATTGTTTCGGAGTGTGGGGGAAAAGACCATTGGGCTGGAAGAAAGAAGACAAGAACCCCACGTACAGGGGTCGCAGGTAAACGATGGTTGTTCTTTCAGTTACATTTATAAAAACAGACAGGTGAGAGAGCATCAGGTGCTTGGTCTTGGGCGTGTCTGGTGCAGAGGCCCTCCACTATACTTCGCTCTGCCTCTCACGGTCTCTCTGGTCTGTCTTTTTCTGTGTGTAGTTCCTGCCAGGGGCTCCAGCCCACATGTTATGTGGGGAAAGACAATGAGAATGTTGAGAGAGAGAGAGAGAGAGAGAGAGAGAGCACATGAAAAAGCAAAAAAATAGAAATGCATCTCTGAAGACAGACAGACCCTTTGAGCACTAGAAAAGGTGGATGCCATCAATGGGAACTCTCAAAGGAGGTAAAGGTAAAGGTTCCCCTTGACATTTAGTCCAGTCATGTCCAACTCTAGGGTGCAGTGCTCATCCCTGTCTCCAAGCCATAGAGCCAGTGTTTGTCCGAAGACAGTTTCCACGGTCACGTGGCCAGCGCGACTAGACATGGAATGCCGTTACCGTCTCACTGAGCTGGTACCTATTGATAGACTCGCATTTTTACATGCTTTCGAACTGCTAGGTTGGCGGGAGCTGGGACAAGCGACAGGAGCTCACTCCATCGCGTGGATTTGATCTGACGACTGCTGGACCTTGCAGCACAGAGGCTTCTGCTGTTTAACCCGCAGCGCCACCACGTCCCTCTCTTAAAGGAGAGATACTGTTATTTATTAGAATTCTCTATCTCTAATCCATTTTGCTTTAGTTAACTAAAAATATATTTTTTAAAGTAGTTAACATTTTTTAAAGTTAGCCAGCTGGGGGCTTTCTGCGCATGTTTCTGCTTATCAGCTGAGAGGGAGGGACAGGTGCAGAGGACCCCCGCAGTGGCTGATAGGCTCACTGACTGAAATTTTTTTAACAATGATGATGATGATGATTATTATTAGTTAGCTGGCTTGTCAGCCAACGAGGTATGTTTGCATTGTGCACATATCCCTTCTTATCAGCTGAGAAATGGACACATGCGCAGAGGGGCCCCCAGCCGGCTCACAGACTGGCTAACGAAGTAGTATATAATTTGATTTTTACTTTTTTACTTTTAAGATAGCCAGCCTGTCCATCAGGCCAGTGGCCCCTGCGCATATTCCTGTCTATCCTCTGAGAGGTGGGACATATGCAGAGGCCACCAGGGCCTCTCAAGGTAGTGGTGGCAGTGGAGGAAGAGGACGCTGGAGCAGGACAAGGTAGGGAGGTGGTGGTGGGCAGTGGGAAGGGGGTGGTGGCAGGTTGTATGTATGTGGGGGCAATGAACCAGGAGGTTCGTAAATCACCAACAAAATCATTTGTTCAGAAAAGTTTGGGTTCTCCAGTTTGGATGAACTTGAACTGATACAAATCACTGAATTAGCGATTTTTCACAAATTTCCTTGTTTGTTGTTTAGTTCGTGCCCATCTCTAGTTGTGATGTTCTGATCTTCTTGAACAAAACAATTTAAAATACTCCATTTAGGGTAATCTTGAAAGGGCTGAAGTTCAGGGAGGAAAGATGGACAGTCTTCATAGGGAGAGAGATGTTTCCACCCTGCAGATCAGAAGCATGAATTTCATAAAGATACCTGTGGACTTGAAAACAGAAATCGACCAGATTTGCTTTTTTGGACTTGATGCTGCAAGGCTGGGATCTTTGGGCAGAGGTCCAGAGCCTTTCAATGCAAAATGGCTTCAGACGTTTCTGTATGAGCCTTCATCTCCATGTCCTCTTTCTACTTACAAAAAAAAAAAAAAAAGCTTTTGAAAGAGACGAGGCAGAGCTTTGGAAAAGCTGCTTTTTTCACCAACTCCAAGAGAAGTTACTTTTTAGATGACAGTTCCCAGAATACCTCAGAAATTTTGGAAGCTGTCATACAAACCTTATGAAACACTATGATCAAGTTGATCATGAAGCAGGGCAAAGTTGCAGGTGAATTTTCCTTCAGTTATATGGAAACCCATGAGCAACAGCAGGTTTAAATGCTTAAACAAAAACTACCTTTTGCAGCTATAGAAGGCTACAGTTACTATTGTTTAAACCGTGTAAGAATCATTCAAACATGTTACAGCTGTGAAAAAGCTGTAGGTATAAACACTTAAGAATATAGGAAGACTAAACTTAAGTTGCAGATAAAATATTTAAGTCATGCTTTAAAAATGTTTCAACATGAGGAGCATTACAGTAGAAATACATTTAAAGAATCAAAACGAGCAGAGAATATTTTAATTACATTCTTTAAAATGCAGAGATTCATTTATTAATCAGGTCCAAATAAAAAGCAGAGATTGTTCAAGCCCCATGTTGGGCACCAACTTTACAACACTTTAAAGTTCTGTGGGGCTGTTTGCTTAGTATTGATGAATCTTGCAAACACAATTTCACAAAGTAAGTCCCTTATATGCCTTCATATAACAGACAACATGAATAATTATACCAACACCAAAATGCTACAATTCGCAAGGCCTTGGCAACAGCACCAATACAGAAGTTGCTTGCAGAATTTGCAAAGTTGAAGTGTCCTTTTGATTTCAAAGTCAGACACAAATCGAAGATATCTTCTTCAACCAGGTTGGGTATCCAGAACACCAAGTTGGCAAGGGCTTTAGTAGTCCAACTGGCAACAGCAGCTCCACCCCTTTCAGCTCTCCCGCTCTTTCTGAGATTCTAACCTCTTACCCACAGCCCTGCTCTTTCTTAGTCCCACCTCTATAGGCTGAACCAATATTTCATAGGAGTTACAATTATCTCTTAAAATTATCAAAATTCTTATTTTACATTGACCTTGGTTTCCCTGGGGTTCTCTGATATATGTAGCTGTGTGCTAACAGTACACTTCTCCCTTGAATTGCACATGTCTGAACAGCATAGTTTTCATCATGCACATTTTTTTCAATAAATAAATGAAAAATTAAATATTCCAAGGAATGAATGAATGAACAAATACTGTGCTACTGGCCAGCCAGAAATTCATGAACCTTCAACACTTAAGGCATCAAAGGGGACTACTTGCGCCCAAACACAACATTTTAAAGTCAGCATCTAGATCAAGGGGTCATAAGGGCCTTTACACGGGGTTTTGTATGGAAAGGATTGGAAGAGAACTCTGATAGAGAACACAGAAAATTGTTCTCTCTCTCTCTCTCTCTCTGTTAATCAACAGTTTATGCTTTGTAGGTACATTTTTTTTGGGGGGTGTACAAATGTTGTGCACAGATTTTCAACTACATGGAGGCTTGGTGCCCCTAACCCGAGCATGGATGGAAACAAGAGCTGGACCATAAAGAAAGCTGACCACCAAAGAATTGATGCTTTTGAATTGTGGTGCTGGAGGAGGCTCTTGAGAATCCCCTGGACTGCAGGGAGAATGAAACCAATCAATTCTAAAGGAAATCAAGCCTGAGTGCTCACTGGAAGGACAGATCCTGAAGCTGAGGCTCCAATACTTTGGCCATCTCAGGAGAAGAGAAGACTCCCTGGAAAAGACCCTGAGGTTGGGAAAGAGTGAAGGCAAGAGGAGAAGGGGATGACAGAGAACAAGATGGTTAGAGAGTGCTAACATAACATAGACATCCTTTAGTCTTAAGAGACTATGGTAATATGCTCTGTATGGAGGACTTGGAACAGCATCTAGTGTTTTGACGCTGTACATGAAGCTGAAGTGTCCTCTCCAGGGCACGAAGCCTGGGTAAAATAATATGGAGGATAGGCTGTTACCCAACCAGCAAATCCCCCCTCTCCACATCACTGAAATGGTCCAATGGAAAGGCAAGAGCCAATACAACTGGTTTCAGCGACGTCTAACATGAATTTGACCCAACTACGGGAGGCAGTGGAAGACAGGAGGGCCTGGCATGCTCTGGTCCATGGGGTCACGAAGAGTTCGCCATGACTTAATGACTAAACAACAACAACAAACCCCAGCATTGTTAAAGGGAGAAGTGTATAAACTACCAAGTCAGAAAATTTGCATGTCTGTGAATGTCCAGCTTGATTAAGACTTTCCAGTCATGTGAGCAATTTTTAACAAATCTTAAATAAGAACATTCTAAATAAGCCTAAATAGGAGCACCCCTCTGCTTCTGATCTGCCAATGCTCATTGCTCATTAATACCTGCAAAGAAGTTACCAAACTTTGGGATGTTCTCATGAAAAAAGCATCACGTGAATTCTTACTCACTCTTCCCTGTAAGCTACAAAATTTCTTCTTTCTTGATCTTTCTTGAGTGATGCAACATGATTAGCATGCATAACATTTATTCAATATAGGCCAAAATCCAGTTAGAGGAAATTTGTGCATGGAAAGGGAATCCTGCTGTGTTTTCCCCCTCTGCTTCACATAACAGGGTGTATATATATATTTATTTAATTAGTTATTTAAAATATTTTTATCCTGCCTTTCTCCTTAAAAGGACCCAAGGTGGCTTCCATAATTAAAAATACAATATTTAAAAGTTAAAAGTTAAAAAAAGAGTATTTAAAAGTTAAAAATCATAATTATACAAATATTTAAAAAGAAATTGTCACAGAAACAGTTTTGCAAGCAGTGCAAGATCAAGAACATAGAAAAGTTGGGAAACAGTTAAGTGATTCCATTATACAATAGGATTCAGGCCATAGAAAACATTGAGAGAAAACACAGGAAACCAGACAAGGCTGGCCCTCTTATTAGCTAGAGTGAGGAGGCTGCTTGAAACCCATTTTTCATAACAGGAAACTGCTGGTTATTTAATTGGTTATTTTGCTTCCAACGTTCGGGAAAGGTGTTTATGTGATTTTTCTGCACATGTACCCATGCTATGTGGATCCAAGCTGGTATTGACGACTTCGATGTGGATGGATGGGGAGAGATGTGCCCTCTGCAGCCCTAAGACTGCAAAATCTTAGAGCAGCCTTGAGTACACAAAAACTGTTTCGGAAAGCCCGCCTTATCTGCTTGTAAATGTGCGCTTTCCAGTTTTTGCCACCTTCTTTTTCTTTAATTTAATTTGATTTAATTTTGTGTTGCAGAATAACTATGAGGGGAAAGTTCATCACCATCTGCTCAGTAGCAGTTCTCTTCATTCTGCTGCAGGCAGATGTCACTCTCTCCAGAAGAGGAGGGAGTAGATCCAGGTCTAGATCCAGATCCAGATCCAGTTCCACCAATAGGGGAAGCCAGCATGAATCTAGCAAACCTGTCATGAACTCTGAACCATCTGCGGAGGAAACTGGGCATCTTGCCTATGGTGCTTCTGCTTCACATCACAACCAAAAAACCCACATCCATCATAACAACCCTTCCTCTTCACAATACAATCCCAGTTACCCACAAAATGGTACCTATTCCCAATACAATCATGATATTCCATTGAAATTTGACAACTCTTTTCATAGACTTGGCTATCCAGAAAACGCTGGCTTCCCTAACTATGGAGGAGACAGCAGCTGGGACCAATACTATAGTAAGCCATGGAAACCTAAGCCTTCCAAGCACAAGGCCATGGCATTAGCAGTGGCAGCAGGTACCAACGGTGACTTCCTCTTAGGCCCTGGCATGTCTGCTATGCATTTCCATTTTAATGGCCTCGATGAGGAGAGGTGGTGGCATGAGAACCGCGATAACTACCCTGATCAAGTCTACTTCCCGTGGTACGAACAGCCTGTCCCGGAGGATGTCTTTGTGAGGGACTGTTGGAACATCACCATGAGAGGGTTCGTGGCTCCCAGTGGGACTGAAACAGCTGACGAGATGGAAACCAGGGTTGTGGGACAAGTGGTGCACCAAATGTGTGCAAAGCAATACCATGTGGTTCTGCAACATTCCATAGGAGACAGCGCCTGGGACACACACAGAATGAGGCCTGGGTCAGGTGCAGCTCTCACAGGAGCTGCAGGCGAAGCTGCTGGCACCTATGGCTTAAGTAGGCACATTCTCACGCCGATAGCACTCTTCTATTTGCCAGCCTTTCTGTGTTATTGATCATTAGACTGTATGTCTGCTTCGTGTTACCCCCCAGGCTGTACTCTTTCATAAACCCATACCCTCTTCCAAAAGCCCAGACCCTACTCCTCTTTGGGGCAGGAGGCTACAGCAGCCAGATCACCATAAGCCTGGAGGGCCCATAACCATGTTGAGTGGAGGCAATTTAGCTGTTGTGACCCCACCTCCTCAAGTAGTTGTTTCAAGCTGTCCATTAGCCTCTGCTTTGCTGTTGATCTTGTGGTTATATGCTTGTTGGCCATTTGTTACCTTTTACAGGGAAATGAAGACAGGAGGGCCTGGCAGAAGACAGGAGGGCCTGGCATGCTCTGGTCCATGGGGTCACGAAGAGTTGGACACGACTGAATGACTAAGCAACAACAGGGAAATGGTCTGGTAGACATAGGAGGATAAAGTCTGAAAAAGCAAGAAGGCAGCAGGAGAGAACTATGCATCTGAGAAAGTTTAGGAAGAAGTCTTAGATCAGGGTGAGCAACTTGTAGCCCTCTAGATGTTCCTAGACTGTGTCCTCTTTGACTCATACCCAGCATAGCCAGTCCAAAATAGATTTCATTCAGAAAGCTGCAGGTCTCTGACCTGTGCTGACCTTCCTTCAACCTTAGACTGCTATTTTTAGGGTTGCTGATGTTCTCCCTTCACATACCTCTCTCTTGTCCCTCCTAGGAGGATACGTCTTCTCTTTGTTCTCTGGAGATGAAAGGGGCCACCATAGCTCCTTGCATATCCAACTCAATCAGAACTAAGTCTTCTAGGATCTTTCCAATCTCAAGTGTACTTCTCTAATAAACACAAGATTTCATATTTTCTTTGAAAGAACATGATCCTGTTACACAAGGGAAGGTGTCCTCTAATAATAATTCCAAGTTTCAAAGTGCTGAATCAACACTTTAGCTTACAGTAGCTCCCGGGCTGCTACTTTTGCTTATGTTTCAACTAAGCAAAAATGCCCCACTGCCATACTTATGGAATCCTGGGCCATGGAAGAGGGGAGGGGTGCTTATAGAAGATGGAAGAATGGTAGGCTGTTCCAAGAGTTACAAACCCATCAAGAAGCCTCCATTAATGGCTGATGGACAGTAGGCTTGCCTTATTATAGGAACAGAGCTGCAGCAATGAAAGAGAGCTGCTCATGAAAGAGATGCAGGATGACTCCTTGAGGATGCTTGAAAATGAATGTGCAGCTGCTCACAAGGAAGAGTTGCATGGCCACACTGTCTTCATAGGTTTCTGTCCCAGGAAGACAACAGCATACCCACTATTATCTTCTATAAAGCAGATATTCCTAATGCATGCAAGCTGGTAAATAAATAAAACATTATATAAAAGCCGTGGAACCTCTTTCTTCTTCTTCTTCTTCTTCTTCTTCTTCTTCTTCTTCTTCTTCCTCTTCTTCTTCTTCTTCTTCTTCTTCTTCTCCTTCTCCT